TGACTATTTTCTCATTTTCTAAACCTATCTGAGAATTTTTTTTTCTCTTAATTGGAGGTACTAGAGACTGAACCCAGGACCACTTGAGCTATACCCTCCTCCCTTACCTGGGATTTATCTTGTTCAAGTCTTTTCTTCTGCCTGACAATGTCTTCTAGGTGATACACCGATCTGGCTACAACTGGGTCAATGTCAAACAAATCATGTGATGTCAACGAAGTTTCCTGCCGCAGCATCCATTTATAAAAAGGTAAGCCCAGGGGAAGGTCCACCTAAAAGGGAGATGCAAATATTGTAACAGTCACACTAAGCTTCCAGAATTGCCTCTAGTGACACTTTAAGAGTTCACCTTAAAAGGACAAGGAATCTCCAGGGGAAAAAAACGTATGTAGGAATTGTTTCTCTCATTACTGTTTCTCCCATTTAAACTCAATTTGAGGCCCTGATATTGTGAAAAATTTAGGACACTGAAGAATCCTATCTAAACACTGACCCTAAAAAGGAAGTTTTCAACGATGGTCATATACTCTCCATAAGGACCGCAACACCAAGAGATGCCTGGTGGAATCTTACTCTATTTTGGGCCAAGTACTTTAATTTGTATTATTGCATATCTGGCAGCAAGAATTTAAAAGATCCAATAATTATCATTAAAATAAAAAATGGAACTTCTAAAGTAACTGATTAATAGTCCATTTTTCAGCAACATGAGATTGTAAGCTTGTGAATTTGACATCAAATGAAAATATCTTATACATACTGACAGAGTATCTCAGAAAATATAAGAGAAAATGAAGAAAAATCCAGAAATATTCAAACCTCTGTAAATACTAATTTCTTGGGTAATTTTTACTACTGCACTCTAATGAAATTTACTTTAAGTACATGTTCATGCTTTCCTACTGAATTAAAAATCTAATGTCAAACACTTAAAAAAATACGTAATTAAAACCACCCCTAACGTTGCCTGATTCTCTGAGCCCTTTACTAAAGGAATGGTCCACAGACTGGTAGTTAAGTATCACCTGGATGCTGATGAGAAAATTTGGAAACTTGGGCCTCACCCATGAACTGTTGAATCAAACTGGCTTTTAAAACAAATTCTCCAAGCAATTCATATGCACATTAAGGTTTATGAAGCACTGTTTTGAAATACAGCATAAAGTGCAGGGGATTAAGGTACTGTCATAGAACACAGGTACAAAAAAAAATCACAGAAAAGCAAGTAATTCTAAACTTACCAATCTGAAATCCATGATAGCCTTGGCCATTAACTTTCCTAGGAAGCGGAACTTCATCTTAACCTTTGCGATGTGAGCTGGCTTAGCGGTCCTACCAAAGGGAAGCGCAAACAGGCCTTGGAGGTTTTGAATATACTTGGTCCCTTCTTGGCTTCCTATAAAATGAGTAAATCACCAAACTTCAGGTGCTATTTCCCAAAACAAGACAAAAATCTGCGAATTATGAACATTAAAGACATTTTATATTCTCAAAATCAGACAGCAGATCACAGAAAGAAGTCCTCTAGAGCTGGAAGGGCCTCCCTTATTTGATAAACGAGAAAACAAAGGTGGAAAGAAATTAGGTCAGAGCGCCTGGCCCTCTACTGTAAGTCACATACATTTAGTGCATCCTAAGGGCCTTTTACCTGATCCAAATAGCACATTAACGAGCTCACAGATTAACATTACCTTTCGGATTGCTAAGAGTTACTTCTTCCCCTCTCCAGAGCCCCAAGTCAGCTCTCTGTAGTTCCTGAGATACAAGTGCATAAAACTCCAGTGTAGGCCCAAGACCTGTGCCAACCTACACAGGAACAAAAGCAGATTTCACACTTTAGAATTTTTTTTTAACCTGCCGACCTTTTGGCAGTGTGGACACTAACAGCAACTGTTTATCAGGATGTGTCGGACTGTCCTGACTGCATCCCTCAGTCCCGGTCACCTGGAACAAGAACTGGCAACCCCACTACCGCCTACTCCCTTTGGCCCCGACGCCTGAATTGTCCGCTTCAAGCTGTGTAATGACAAAAGCACCCCTGTGGCTACAGACCTTGCCCTCAGGGACTAGGAGGTACAGTCTGGAATGGATCCCTTTCCCGTTCTCTCTTTGGTAAACCGTCACCTGAAACCAGTTCAATGTCCACTCCTCTTGAGAAGCCTCTTTACCTGCCCAGCTCCTTTGCTCCCGTCCTTAAGGACTTACATTTTGGCTACATAAGTACTTATCACATTACACTGCCATAATTTCAGCATGTGCTTGCATACTTCACTTGAGGGTAAACTTAACTCACCTTTGTGTCCTTCATAGTGCCTGGGCACACTATTTGCTAGAGGTTTGTTGAATAAAACATGAAAAGGGAAGGTCTGAACCCACGCCAGCGCCCACAGGGCTAACTTGGCTTCAGAGAGTGTGTCAGTGCTTCTTAAGACCCAAGGTACACTGGGCTCTCCGAGAGCTTGAGCAGCACGCACACGTGGGGTGAGTGTGCCCCGAAGATTCTGACTTGGTAGGTCTGGTTTACAGCCCGGTATTTTTAAATAAGCTCCAAAGGTGACTGCACAGCTGTGAATATAAAACCCCTCCTCCATGAGACACGTGATCCTGGGCAGTAATCTCAACCTAGTTCATGTTCCATCAAGGTCCTATCAGCTCACACCATAAACTAGATATACAGCTAATGACAAGTTAATACCACAGTTTATAAGCTTAGTCCTGTCCAGAAGGCTGTATTTCACTTACTGATTATTTGCAAACAATGGGCATTATTTTACCATTCTCACAGTTACCTTTAAAAAGTACCCCCACTAGCTTACACGATGAGATGTAGTTTACTAAATGGTTAACTAACTTTCCAAGCAGAGACCTGCCTGGACCTGGTGATGATTTCCTGACCCACCTCCATCTCTCTGCTGGTGTTCACGGCTGTAACTGCAAGCAGCATTCAGCTCATGCTGCAGCCAAACCTTGGAGCCATCCGTGCCTCTTCTCTTTCTTATGCCCCACATAAAAACCCATTGTTAAACACGGTAAGCCCCACCTTCAAAATACGTTCTAAACTGGTTACCATGGATACATTCTTATCTGGTCCCAATGCTAGAGCCCCCTAAGTGGTCTTCTGCCCTAGCATTCTCAACGACTCACATCCTAGTCTCACAGTGTGAGTGATCCTTCCACAACCCAAGCTCCTATCATTCCTCCACCCCTTCCCAAGGCTTCCCATCTTGTTCAAAGCAAAAGCTCAAGTCCTTAGCTCAGCGTGCATGTGCTATGTGAGCCCCGACTCCTACCTCCAGCCACTTTGGAATTCTGCCTCAAGGCTTTTGCTTCTCTTTTCTTTTAAGAGATAGTCTTTCCCTTAGACAGTAATGACTATTGCTCAAATGTCACCTTATGCCGCCCTATCCCCTCCCCATCATGCTCTTTTTTCTTTTGATATGTATACATA